TATATAAATACTTTTTCGGCACGTTTGACAATCACTTCTTTCTATTGGCCCGTTTATAAAGAGACGTCGTCGAAACAGCCAATAGGAAACGGCGATTTGAATTTCGAATTCCGCGAGGGATTTTGCATGCCGGTCGTGTCACGTGATTTGTTTTGGAATTGGACCAAAGGAGGAGATTTCAACGTTCAGAAATGTCCAGGTGGATCCTCAGGTAATTTAATTTATTTATTTTTAAATTGGATTCATTTTGGAAATGGTCCAAAATCTTTATATATATGCAATATTTAATTAGTATAGGTTTTTGTATTATGTATAATTAATTGACGTAAATAGAGAAAGTTAATTAAAACATTTTAAAAATATTGAATATTTATATTCTCTAATTATAAGTTTCGGAATTTATTATTAATTTATAATAATTTTATACAATGTTTAAAAATATATATAATTAAGTATACTAGTAAGTAGGTCAATCGAAGAAAAACTTTGTTTAAAAAACAAAATAAAATAAAAAAATGGCCTCCGTTTCGGCGTATTAAATTATTAATAATCCAAACTGCAAGAGCATAAAATGCACTATTTCACGGATGAGGAATTTGTATATAATTGTGTGAAAATTGTCATTAGTTCAATGGGCCGTCACCGAGTCCATTTACTGTTAGATGACCTCCTATTTGACACAGGAAGTGACCAATAAAGACCCGAAAACTGTCATCGTCTGGGAAATTGCGTAAATCCTTTCTAGTCGTTTGTCAAAAGCAGAAATAAAAATATCATTTCCACATTTAAAAATTAATATTTCTCAAGAGAAACGACGACAGCGACATGCCTCCGAGACAGTTGTATACATACAAACATATATACACGTATATATATATATATTTAAAAAATCCCGTTTCGATGCTTACATTTATTAATGACTTGTTGTTTAAAGTATGCTTAATTAAATTCGGTAGAATATTACATTCGATGTAGAAAAATATTAAAAATTAAGAGGGAATTTTTGAAACGAGATAACATTAACACGAATGGTCGATTCATTTGTTTCGCTAATCTTCTCGATGTTATCATTATCCGGAGCCGCAGGTGTCTTCTTCTAAATTTATTCTCTTTTCATTAATGTTAATTGTTCTTTTATATTCCTTCTTTATTCTAAATATGTTTTTATTCTTATATTTTATATATATACACAAAGACTTTTGTCTCGGAAATTATAACGTTATTTTTATTGTTATAATGCGTAAACGAAGCCGACGTTCTCATTAATGATGCGACTTACTTAATTAGTATAGAATAGATTTAAATTTAAAAATAAATTAATAACAATAAAAAAATTATTTATAATTTAACAAAATAATTATAATTATCTTTTAAAAATTGAAAAAAAAATGTAATTAATAAAATTTATTTTTTCCTTTTTCTCTTTAAACTTCTTAATATCTTGATATTATTTATGAAGAAAGACTATTTATATTTAATTTCTTTTTAGCATGATGCAAAAAATTTATTTATTTTTCTTAAAAAAAATCTCTTTTTTACTCTTTTTATTATTTTTTATTTTTTAAAATTCAGTTGTGTTTTTTTCTTTGTTATTTTTCCAGTGTCCCTTTCATCCTTCTCCTTGAGGCCGCCATTGTTAGGTAAAATATTTCATCATTTAAAAATCGAAAGGCAAAATAAAAAATATATAAATAAATAAATAAATAAAATAAGACGTATTAGGGTTATTTATGTATTATAAATATATTTTTATCTGTTTTTTCAGAACGTCTTAATTATATCACCACATACGCTTGTGAAGAGCGTGAACTTAGGGTAGGATGCGAAAATGGCGGACTTATAAAATTAGTTCGGGCCAATTATGGAAGATTTAGCATAAGCATATGTAACGATCACGGTAATTTGGACTGGAGTGTAAATTGCATGTCATACAGGTCCTTTCTGATAATGCAAGACAGGTAAGTAGTAGTAGTAGTAGTAAAAGGTACGCCATTAACCGAAACGTTGAATTTAGATAATTGATGATAATTTCTGCAGGTGCAGTCTAAAGCCTAGTTGCAGTGTGGTCGTATCTAGTAATATGTTTGGAGATCCATGCCCCGGCACGCTTAAGTATTTAGAAGTGCAATATCATTGCGTTTCAGGTTAGGATCTTTTAAAACAAAATTTTAATCCCGCACTTAAAGTACGATGGAACTTTCTTAACGGGTGTTAATGTAAGTAATTGATTTTAATCAGAAGCGAGTTTTATAATTAAATAAAATTGTTACAGGTTCGGGAACAACGCCGGGAAAATTAAATTCGTTGTTAAATATGGGTAACAACACCAACGAAACAACGATCGAAAGAACGGAGAGTGCCACTCCAACTTCCACCATGATTTATCCTTCGAGTTCTCCTCTTTCATCTTCCGTGACGTTAGAGGCTGTTACGAGTCCTTATCTGGAGCAATCTATAGCTAATACCAATACTTCTGTGGCCACTACAGATACTTTAACCAAAGGTAAGGTATAAATAAAAATAAAAAATTATATATATATATATATTGAATTTTATAATAAAAATATAGTATGCACATTAATAGTCAGAAATTACCCTGTTCATCCAAGAGTTATAATCTAACTGTTTAACATCTGTGAAAATGTATATGGATCATGTAAAATCATGTATATGGATTCCATATAAAATGAGACCTTACTGTATATAAATTAAAATATTTTATTGGTAATATGAAGTGTTTTTAAAAAACTTTATTCAGTAAACATTCAGTTGTTAGTTTTATGAAGGTTTTTAATAATTTGAATTTACTAGAAGTGTGTGTATTATGAGAAAACTAAAATCACAATTTTTTTATAAAGGCATATTTATAAAAATAAAAATCGTTATTAATATTTGCTTTTTGTTTTTTTATAGAAGAAATATCTGAATTAATTTCTGGATTTGAAAATGTACAGTTAGCAAATTTTTGCAAAATTTTAGCCATTACATTATCTGATTTAGATATGTATGAACATAAATCCTCATGTAAGTTTGTAATTAACACTATTTATGTATATTTTAAATAAATTGTAATTCTTTGTAANATGCCGGTCGTGTCACGTGATTTGTTTTGGAATTGGACCAAAGGAGGAGATTTCAACGTTCAGAAATGTCCAGGTGGATCCTCAGGTAATTTAATTTATTTATTTTTAAATTGGATTCATTTTGGAAATGGTCCAAAATCTTTATATATATGCAATATTTAATTAGTATAGGTTTTTGTATTATGTATAATTAATTGACGTAAATAGAGAAAGTTAATTAAATTTAAAAAAATAATGCACTGATCCGGACAAGATAAATCATATTTTCTAAGGAAAAATATTCTCATCTTTATTTTTACTTCTACATCTGCTTTTTTTTCTATGATTTAATTTTGAATTTATACGAACGCTCCGATTGGTTAATATCGAATTTAAACGAATGAACTCTTCCGATTGGTTAATACATTATTTTTTTTAAATTTATGCAAATTAAGCTAGCATCATCCGGAATCGATTCCGAGCGGCAATTAGACTTTTGTTAAATTAGAAAGCGCGGCGGAGAGAGAGTTTTGCAGCAATTTTTTAAATAAAAATATAGTTGACAAATTAGTGCTGTGTCATTTTATTACAAAATGAAACGAATCATAAGCAGATTAACAATGTTTAGTGAGCAAAATCCACATAAAATAACTGGCATCGGGCGTTTTATGCTGCTGTTTTATCCGCACGAAAGCAAAAAAAAAAAAAAAATGTACTGTAATAGAATTTATTTTCTAGTTGAAGTTAAATAAAAATGCAAATCATATAGATGAAATATCAGTATCTGTTTTTAAAGCCGCAGCAGAAACAAATGTTGAACTGTCATAAAGTAACCATTATAAAAGTCGAGTAAATATTGATTTTGGTTTTAACATCATTTGTTCGTGAGAATTTCTGGAATTTCATATCGAAATCCGACCAGATGGTAATGAAATAGGGAAAAATGGACTACGAACGATAATATATCTTATTTCTTGAGCATTGCTTGTCTGTCTGTCACGCCGTATCGTTATATATCTGGGTAATTCGATTTTATATACTGTATTTGGGAAAAGTATATAAACCGATCACTTATGAAAATTAATTTTATGACGAATTAAAAATAAAATCGCATTATTTAGCAATGAAGATTTAGCGTGAGTGAGAGAAATTTATTAGCGAATAATGTGATTTTATATAATAGAGGGCCATAATTAGTTTTTCCTATTCAGAACATTGTGTAGCTGTAACCAATAAGCGGATTGACACCAAAATTTGCACGCGAACTTAGCAAAAAATGCGAAAAAGGATTTTGCAAAAAAAAAAAAAAAAAAATAGTTCCAAAACTTCCGCTTTACGGGAAAATATATGAAACAACACAAACATGAGTAAACAGCCTTCTTCTTGTTAAG